ATGAATCATGCCTCAAACATGTGCCACTTTCAGGTCTCCTCACACACTGCTGGTGTGTTGAATTTTTTGACATAGGGTGCTGGCAGATTACGGGCCTCCTATAGCTGCTGCCAGGCCCCTAATGCCATAGGCCCCTATATACCGCCTCCTCATGCTGCTGCCAAGTCCAGAGTCTCTCATGGGTCCCTGTACGGCCTCCCATTGCTGCTGTCTCCATCGCCACACTCTGCCATGTGCCACATTCAGGTCTCTTCACACTGCTTGTGTTTTCAATTTTTTGACATAGGGTGCTGGCAGATTACGGGCCTCCCATAGCTGCTGCCAGGCCCCTAATCTGCCATGGGCCCCTATATACCGCCTCCTCATGCTGCTGCCAAGTCCAGAGTCTCTCATGGGTCCCTGTACGGCCTCCCCCATTGCTGCTGTCTCCATCGCCACACTCTGCCATGTGCCACTTTCAGGTCTCCTCACACACTGCTGTGTGTTGAATTTTTTGACATAGGGTGCTGGCAGATTACGGGCCTCCCATAGCTGCTGCCAGGCCCCTAATCTGCCATGGGCCCCTATATACCGCCTCCTCATGCTGCTGCCAAGTCCAGAGTCTCTCATGGGTCCCTGTACGGCCTCCCATTGCTGCTGTCTCCATCGCCACACTCTGCCATGTGCCACATTCAGGTCTCTTCACACTGCTTGTGTTTTTCAATTTTTTGACATAGGGTGCTGGCAGATTACGGGCCTCCCATAGCTGCTGCCAGGCCCCTAATCTGCCATGGGCCCCTATATACCACCTCCTCATGCTGCTGCCAAGTCCAGAGTCTCTCATGGGTCCCTGTACGGCCTCCCATTGCTGCTGTCTCCATCGCCACACTCTGCCATGTGCCACTTTCAGGTCTCTTCTCACACTGCTGTGTGTTTTGAATTTTTTGACATAGGGTGCTGGCAGATTACGGGCCTCCCATAGCTGCTGCCAGGCCCCTAATCTGCCATGGGCCCCTATATACCGCCTCCTCATGCTGCTGCCAAGTCCAGAGTCTCTCATGGGTCCCTGTACGGCCTCCCATTGCTGCTGTCTCTCCATCGCCACACTCTGCCATGTGCCACATTCAGGTCTCTTCACACTGCTTGTGTTTTCAATTTTTTGACATAGGGTGCTGGCAGATTACGGGCCTCCCCCTATAGCTGCTGCCATGCTGGCCCCTAATCTGCCATGGGTCCCTGGGCCCCTATATACCACCTCCTCTCTGCTGCTGCTGCCAAGTCCAGAGTCTCTCATGGGTCCCTGTACGGCCTCCCATTGCTGCTGTCTCCATCGCCACACTCTGCCATGTGCCACTTTCAGGTCTCCTCACACACTGCTGTGTGTGTTGAATTTTTTGACATAGGGTGCTGGCAGATTACGGGCCTCCCATAGCTGCTGCCAGGCCCCTAATCTGCCATGGGCCCCTATATACCGCCTCCTCATGCTGCTGCCAAGTCCAGAGTCTCTCATGGGTCCCTGTACGGCCTCCCATTGCTGCTGTCTCCATCGCCACACTCTGCCATGTGCCACATTCAGGTCTCTCTTCACACTGCTTGTGTTTTCAATTTTTTGACATAGGGTGCTGGCAGATTACGGGCCTCCCATAGCTGCTGCCAGGCCCCTAATCTGCCATGGGCCCCTATATACCGCCTCCTCATGCTGCTGCCAAGTCCAGAGTCTCTCATGGGTCCCTGTACGGCCTCCCATTGCTGCTGTCTCCATCGCCACACTCTGCCATGTGCCACTTTCAGGTCTCCTCACACACTGCTGTGTGTGTTTGAATTTTTTGACATAGGGTGCTGGCAGATTACGGGCCTCCCATAGCTGCTGCCAGGCCCCTAATCTGCCATGGGCCCTATATACCGCCTCCTCATGCTGCTGCCAAGTCCAGAGTCTCTCATGGGTCCCTGTACGGCCTCCCATTGCTGCTGTCTCCATCGCCACACTCTGCCATGTGCCACATTCAGGTCTCTTCACACTGCTTGTGTTTTCAATTTTTTGACATAGGGTGCTGGCAGATTACGGGCCTCCCATAGCTGCTGCCAGGCCCCTAATCTGCCATGGGCCCCTATATACCGCCTCCTCATGCTGCTGCCAAGTCCAGAGTCTCTCATGGGTCCCTGTACGGCCTCCCATTGCTGCTGTCTCCATCGCCACACTCTGCCATGTGCCACATTCAGGTCTCTTCACACACTGCTGTGTGTTTTCAATTTTTTGACATAGGGTGCTGGCAGATTACGGGCCTCCCATAGCTGCTGCCAGGCCCCCTAATCTGCCATGGGCCCCTATATATACCGCCTCCTCATGCTGCTGCCAAGTCCAGAGTCTCTCATGGGTCCCTGTACGGCTCCCATTGCTGCTGTCTCCATCGCCACACTCTGCCATGTGCCACATTCAGGTCTCTTCACACTGCTTGTGTTTTCAATTTTTTGACATAGGGTGCTGGCAGATTACGGGCCTCCCATAGCTGCTGCCAGGCCCCTAATCTGCCATGGGCCCCTATATACCGCCTCCTCATGCTGCTGCCAAGTCCAGAGTCTCTCATGGGTCCCTGTACGGCCTCCCATTGCTGCTGTCTCCATCGCCACACTCTGCCATGTGCCACTTTCAGGTCTCCTCACACACTGCTGTTGTGTTGAATTTTTTGACATAGGGTGCTGGCAGATTACGGGCCTCCCATAGCTGCTGCCAGGCCCCTAATCTGCCATGGGCCCCTATATACCGCCTCCTCATGCTGCTGCCAAGTCCAGAGTCTCTCATGGGTCCCTGTACGGCCTCCCATTGCTGCTGTCTCCATCGCCACACTCTGCCATGTGCCACATTCAGGTCTCTTCACACTGCTGGTGTGTTGAATTTTTTGACATAGGGTGCTGGCAGATTACGGGCCTCCCATAGCTGCTGCCAGGCCCCTAATCTGCCATGGGCCCCTATATACCGCCTCCTCATGCTGCTGCCAAGTCCAGAGTCTCTCATGGGTCCCTGTACGGCCTCCCATTGCTGCTGTCTCCATCGCCACACTCTGCCATGTGCCACTTTCAGGTCTCCTCACACACTGCTGTTGTGTTTGAATTTTTTGACATAGGGTGCTGGCAGATTACGGGCCTCCCATAGCTGCTGCCAGGCCCCTAATCTGCCATGGGCCCCTATATACCGCCTCCTCATGCTGCTGCCAAGTCCAGAGTCTCTCATGGGTCCCTGTACGGCCTCCCATTGCTGCTGTTTCCATCGCCACACTCTGCCATGTGCCACATTCAGGTCTCTTCACACTGCTGGTGTGTTGAATTTTTTGACATAGGGTGCTGGCAGATTACGGGCCTCCCATAGCTGCTGCCAGGCCCCTAATCTGCCATGGGCCCCTATATACCGCCTCCTCATGCTGCTGCCAAGTCCAGAGTCTCTCATGGGTCCCTGTACGGCCTCCCATTGCTGCTGCCAGGAGGCAGCAGGGTCGCAGCAGTGTCAGTGGAGGCAAAAACGGCCACGGAGTAGAGCACCAGCTCCACTGCAGCCTACCACCACGGCCAGTAGTGGTGCCGGTGTGCACGGAGGAAGGAGTAGCAGTCAGCCAGTGAGGAGTAGAGGAGGCAAAGTTTCCTACTCTGCGGTGTGGCAATTTTTCGTCAAGCCGCCCGAGGAAGTAAACGTAGCCGTATGTCGACTATGTGGCCAGAAAGTCAAGCGTGGCCAGGGGGCCCATGTTGGGACTACAGCGTTGCGTCAGCATATGCAGCGTCGCCATTCGGTGGCCTGGGAAAACCGTGATAAAGATACGGCGGTTCTGCCTGCCCCAGCCCAGGGTTCCATTTTGTCATAGGGTGCTGGCAGATTACAGGCCTCCCATAGGTGCTGCCAGGCCCCAAATCTGCCATGGACCCCCGTACCGCCTGGTCACGCTGCTGCTGGGCCCACAGTGTGACCTGGGTCCCTGTACCGCCTCCCATTGCTCCCACTCTGCCATGTGCCACTTTCAGGTCTCCTCACACTCCTGCTGGTTTCCATTTTGTCATAGGTTGCTGTATGGCCTCCCATTGCTGCTGCCTCCACCGCCACACTGTGGCTCCAAACACTGGTTTTGGCCCCGTGACTGGCCAAATGAGTGAAGTGTGCGGTGATTCTAAGATCGACGGCACTCATCTGCATGTCATACTGAGTGACAGTATTATTTCTCTTCCCCAGCAGACTCCAAGGGCATTTAAATTAAAGGTACAGTGTTCTGCACTAATATTAAGTCTCTCTGAAGCCTAGAAACACCCTTTTTTAAGTTAAATTCACAGCGAATTTATTCGACTCGAATCGAATATTGTCCACGAATTCGCCGAATCAGTCGAATCGAATTTTTCATTTCTTCGCTCATCTCTAGTTGTCACCATCAGGAAACTCACCCTGAGAAATGCCATGCAGCCTTTACTGGAGTGCATATATAAAAGAAATGGCTGTAAAAGGCTGCAGGAGATCAGTAGCAATGAGAGGTAACAAAGACTATTATTCCAAATTTATATTTATCTTTATAAATAAAGAAGTGCGTTTCAAAAATAACTGCCATTTATTTTAAAATGGCAGTTGTTTATGATGCACACTTCTTTAGTTAAAGTGTTGCTAAGCCCTCAATAGTACAATCAGTCTGTATATACAATAAAGCATGCTTGTTATACTCACTGTAGAATTGAAGGGGTTAAATCCTCCACATTGTGTAAAAAGGCTGCTTGATCCTGTCTTCTCTGATCTTCCCTTTCCTCTTCAGTCCCCAATCCATCTTCTGATAGAACAGAGCTTTGGGGGCCAGCTGCACATGCTCAGTTTGATGTGTATTGCTAGAGATATTTTTATTCTTAGTGTATGTGATCAGCGTAGAGCCAATCAGCACTGTCCAGACAGAGGGTCAGGGGTCCTGCAGCCTCATAAGACAGTCAGGGGAGAATGAAAATTCCTCCTACAAGCTGTAACCAGTGGATATAGTGAATGCAGGGTCCGGGTAGAGCGGATATAGTGAATGCGGGGTCCGGGGAGAGCGGATATAGTGAATGCGGGGTCCGGGGAGAGCGGATATAGTGAATGCGGGGTCCGGGGAGACTGGATATAGTGAATGCAGGGTCCGGGGAGACTGGATATAGTGAATGCAGGGTCCGGGGAGAGCGGATATAGTGAATGCAAAGTCCGGGGAGAGCGGTTATAGTGAATGCGGGGTCCGGGGAGACTGGATATTGTGAATGTGGGGTCCAGGGAGACTGGATATAGTGAATGCGGGGTCTGGGGAGACTGGATATAGTGAATGCGGGGTCTGGGGAGAGCTGATATAGTGAATGCGGGGTCCGGAGAGACCAGATATAGTGAATGCAAACTCCGGGGAGAGCGGATATAGTGAATGCGGGGTCCGAGGAGAGCGGATATAGTGAATGCGGGGTCCGGGGAGAGCGGATATAGTGAATGCAGGGTCTGGAGAGACCAGATATAGTGAATGCAGCCTCTGGGGAGAGCAGATATAGTGAATGCAGGGTCCGGGGAGAGCGGATATAGTGAATGCGGGGTCCAGGGAGAGCGGATATAGTGAATGCAGGGTCCGGGGAGAGTGGATATAGTGAATGCAGGGTCCGGGGAGAGCGGATATAGTGAATGCGGGGTCCGGGGAGAGCGGATATAGTGAATGCAGGGTCCGGGGAGAGCGGATATAGTGAATGCGGGGTCCAGGGAGAGCGGATATAGCGAATGCAGGGTCCGGGAAGAACAGATATAGTGAATGCAGGGTCCGGGGAGACCGGATATAGCAAATGCAGGGTCCTGGGAGAGCGGATATAGTGAATGCGGGGTCCGGAGAGACCAGATATAGTGAATGCAAACTCCGGGGAGAGCGGATATAGTGAATGCGGGGTCCGAGGAGAGCGGATATAGTGAATGCGGGGTCCGGGGAGAGCGGATATAGTGAATGCAGGGTCTGGAGAGACCAGATATAGTGAATGCAGCCTCTGGGGAGAGCAGATATAGTGAATGCAGGGTCCGGGGAGAGCGGATATAGTGAATGCGGGGTCCAGGGAGAGCGGATATAGTGAATGCAGGGTCCGGGGAGAGTGGATATAGTGAATGCAGGGTCCGGGGAGAGCGGATATAGTGAATGCGGGGTCCGGGGAGAGCGGATATAGTGAATGCAGGGTCCGGGGAGAGCGGATATAGTGAATGCGGGGTCCAGGGAGAGCGGATATAGCGAATGCAGGGTCCGGGAAGAACAGATATAGTGAATGCAGGGTCCGGGGAGACCGGATATAGCAAATGCAGGGTCCTGGGAGAGCGGATATAGTGAATGCAGGGTCTGGAGAGACCAGATATAGTGAATGCAGGCTCTGGGAGAGCGGATATAGTGAATGCAGGGTCCGGGGAGACCAGATATAGTGAATGCAGGGTACAGGGAGAGTGGGTATAGTGAATGCGGGGTCCGGAGAGACCGGGTATAGTGAATGCGGGGTCCGGGGAGACCGGATATAGTGAATGCAGGGTCCGGGGAGAGCGGATATAGTGAATGCGGGGTCCGGGGAGAGCGGATATAGTGAATGCCGGGTCCGGGGAGAGCGGATATAGTGAATGCAGGGTCTGGGGAGAGCAGATATAGTGAATGCGGGGTCCGGGGAGAAAGGATATAGTGAATGCGGGGTCCGGGGAGACCAAATATAGTGAATGCAGGGTCCGGGGTTTAGTAACACTTTAGCTAAATTGCACCCAGTTAGGATTACTCCAACCTAAATGCAGAAAATGACGACCAGCTGCATGTAATTTTTAATGTGACAGGTCCACTTTCCCTTCGCTTGACTTTGTTCCCGTGTTTCCAACCAGTACAAAGACTTTCATTCCGGACTCATCGGACCTTTGCTTGTCTGCCGACCAAATGTCTTGAAGCGTTTCACCGTGCAGCAGATTTCGATGGAAGACTTCTCTCTTGTGTTCATGGAGATGGACGAAACGAAGAGCTGGTACTTCAAAGAGAATTGGCTGCGACATTGTCCTTCCACTTGTGCATTTCAAGCCAACGTATTACGTTCCTGCACTTCAGCCTGCAAGTCACCATCAGCTGCTGAAGATGTTCAACATGACCACATCTTTCATGGTAATGAGCTTCAGTCACAATTTGATCACTTCTGTCCTATGCAAAACCTTGGACTACTGCAGGGTTATGGGCAAGAAAGAAAGAACGGTCACAGTTCACATGCAAGATCCAAAAGTTGGTCTGTGCTGGACATGTCACTATGGTGATTTTTGGGCTGCATGGGCTCATATTGCTTCCTCTTTGCTGCCCCCCAGCTAGCTAGTTTAAGGTGATCTGTAGCGGGACTGTTGCTTTAAACATTCTTGACAAGTAAGTAGACTAACTTCAAAACTTTAAATCCTTCATTGACATCGGTAGCTGCAGGCACCGCGGAGCAATTCATCTTCAAAGTCCTGTGGCAGGGCTATGGACATTCAGGTTTTTGAAGCATTCTTAGCAAGTACTTAGACCAACTTTAAAACAATTCTTCACTAACCTCAGTAACTGAGTTGACCTTGAAAACCGCCCGCCCCACCCCCCCACACCAAAAAAATATATATATATCAGCCGACCGCAAAATCTGCCCCTACGACCTCACTACCCCCCCACTCCAAACAAAAAAAACTATCTCAGCCGACCTCGAAAACCCACCCTCCCCAACCTCACCACCCCTCCCCACCCCCATACCTCCCCCCCAAAAAAAAAAACGACCTCAGCCAATCTAGAAACCCGCCCCGCCCCACCCCCTCACCCCCCGAAAAAAAACAAAATCTCAGCCAACCTCGAAACTTGCTCCCCCGAACTCACCAAACCCCCCCCCCACCCCCATACCTCCCCCCCAAAAAAAACTATCTCAGCCGACCTCAAAACCCGGCCCCCGACCTCACCCCCCCCCCCAAAAAATAAAAAAACTTTCTCAGCCGACCTCAAAACCTGCCCCCCTGAGCTCAACACCCCTGCCCCACCCCTCACCCCCCCCAAAAAAAACTATCTCAGCCTACCTCACCACCCCCGCCCACCCCAAAAAAAAAACTAGCTCAGCCAACCTCGAAACCCATCCCCCGACCTCACCATCCCCCCCCCCACCCCCCCATCCCAAAAAAAACCTATCTCAGCCAACCTCAAAACCCACCCCTCCGACCTCACCGCCCCCGCACCAACCCCCCACCCCCCAAAAAAACTATCTCAGCCGACCTTGAAACACGCTCCCCAAACTCCCCAAACCTGCCCCACCCCCACCCCACCCCAAAAAAACCTTTCTCAGCCGACCTCAAAATCCAGCCAACCAACCTCACCACCCCCACCCAAAAAACCCCAATCTCAGCCAACCTGGAAACCTGCCCACCCGCCCCTACAAACTATCTCAGCCTACCTCGAAACCTGCCGACCCGACCTCACCACCCCCGCTCCACCGCCCACCCCCCAAAAAAAAAAAAACTATCTCTGCCAACCTCAAAACCTGCCCACTCGACCTTACCACCCCCCCCCCCCCACCCCCCACCCCAAAAAAAAAAAAAAACTTTCTCAGCCAACCTCGAAACCCGCCCCCCTGACTTTAACACCCCCACCCCACCCTCCCAAAAAAAAAGACTATCTCAGCCGAACTCGAAACCTGCCCCTCGAACTCACCACCACCGCCCCACCCCCCCAACCCCAAAAAACCCCCTATCTCAGCCAACCTCGAAACCCGCCCCCCCCCCGAACTCACCAAACCCGCTCCACCCCCCCAACCCCAAAAAAACCCCTATCTCAGCCGACCTCGAAACCCGCCCCCCCCCCCCCGAACTCACCAAACCCGCTCCACCCCCATACCCCCCTCAAAAAAAACTATCTCAGCCGACCTCGAAACCCACCCCCCCCCCCGACCTCACCACTCCCGCACCCACCCCCCCATCCCAAAAAAACGATCTCAGCCGACCTCGAAACCTGCCCACCTGACTTCACCATCCCCACCCCAAAAAAAAAATTATTTAAGCCGACCTCGAATCCCATCGACCCAACCTTAACACCCCCCCCCGCCCACAAACTATCTCAGCCGACCTCAAAACCCGCCCCACCCCCCCAAAAAAACCTATCTCAGCCAACCTTGAAACCTGCCGACCCGACCTCACCACCCCCGCTCCACCGCCCACCCCCCAAAAAAACTATCTCAGCCGGCCTCAAAAACCACCCCCCTGACCACACCACCCCCGCCCCCCCCCACTGCAAAAAAAACTTTCTTAGCCTACCTCAAAACCTGCTCCCCCAAACTCACCATCCCCGCCCCACTCCCTTACCCCCCAAAAAAGCCTATCTCAGCCGACATTGAAACCTGCCGCCCGACCTCACCACCCCGCCCCACCCCAAAAAAAAAATACTATCTCAGCCAACCTCGAAACCTGCCCTACTCCCCCACCCCCCAAAAAAATGATCTCAGTTGACCTCGAAACCCGCCCCCCTGACCTCACTACCCCCGCACCACCCCTCATTCCAAAAAAAAAAACTATCTCAGCCGACCTCGAAATCGGCCCCCACAACTTCCCCCCCCACCCCCCCAAAACATTTCTCAGCCGACCTCACCACCTCCGCCCTACTCCCCCCCCCACCCCCCCAAAAAAATTATCTCAATTGACCTCAAAACCTGCCATCCTGACCTCACCACCCCTGCACCACCCCATCCCCAAAAAAAACTTTCTTAGCATACCTCAAAACCTGCTCCCCCAAACTCACCATCCCCGCCCCACTCCCTTACCCCCCAAAAAAGCCTATCTCAGCCGACATTGAAACCTGCCGCCCGACCTCACCACCCCGCCCCCCCCAAAAAAAAAATACTATCTCGGCCAACCTCGAAACTCGCCTTCCCAACCTCACCAACCCCCCGCCCCACCCCCCCCAACGCAAAAAAAAAAAACTATCTCAGCCGTCCTGGAAACCATCCCCCCATCCCAAAAAAAAACTATCTCAGCCAACCTCGAAACCCGCCTTCCCAACCTCACCACCCCTGCCTCACCCCCCCAACGCAAAAAAAAAAAAAACTATCTCAGTCGACCTCACCAACCCCGCCCCACCCCCCCAAAAAAAACTATCTCAGCTGACCTTGAAAACTGCCCCCCCGACCTCATCACCTGCACCCCACCCCCGAAAAAAAAAACTTTCTCAGAGAACCTTGAAACATACCCCCCCGACCTCAACACCCCTGCCCCGCCCCCCATCCCCCCCAAAACAAATGATCTCAGTCAGCCTCTAAACCTGCCCCCCGACTTCACCACCCCTGCCCCCCCCCAACCTCCCCCAAAAAATTATCTCAGCCGAACTCGAAACCTGCCCCCTGACCTCACCACCCTCACTTTACCCCCCCAAAAAAAAAATTCTCAGTCGAACTCGAAACCTGCCCCCCCCGACCTCAACACCCCCGCCCCACCCGACCTCAACACCTCCGCCCCACCCTATAATAAAAACTCCTGGTAGTGACTCAGCAGCTCAGCTCCCCCTGCTCTCTCCTGCCAGTGGTGACTCAGCAGCTCAACCCACCCAGATGCTCTCGACCAGCATTGATTCAGCAGCTCAGATCCCCCTCCAAGCAGTGACTCAACAGATCCACTCTCTCCTCCCACAGCTTGTTCTGTATTTATATTAGAAGGTTGGAAGGCTATTGAATTATTGCTTCCTTCCAATAAATAATCCCGTATGATTTTTTTTCCAGACCTCCTACTGCGCCTTGTCTGATGATGGTATTCTTATCATCACTCAAAGTTGAACTAAAGGAAAAACCCTTAAAGAAGGGTTATAACCTCTGTCGATTTTTATTTGCTGTCTGTTTCCCATTGGGGAAATTTCCCTTTACTTCCCATAGCCAAAACAGGAAGTGAGAGGAAATTCCTCCAAAGTGAGGGAATCCTTGGTTGATGTCCTACCTATCTTGGTTGATGTCCTACCTACCTATGTCCTACCTATCCTGGTTTATGTCCTACCTATCCTGGTTTATGTCCTATGTCCTACTTATCAACGGGCCCCATGATCCCCTATTGCCAGGGGGCCCCATGGAGTTGTCAGTTCTGCCCTTGGTTCATACCTAGATCCTGGTCTGGTTGTCCTACTTATCCTGGTTGACGTCCTACCTAATCTATCTTGGCTTGAAGTCCTACCTATCCTGGGTTTGATGTCCTACCTATCCTGGTTGATTGTCCTACCACAGGCGGCGGACTGACCATTTGGAAACTTGGGTCACTGAGATGCCGAGGGTCCGGTGGTCCAGTAGGGGGCCCCATGAGATGCCCCCCCTGGTACCTTTTTCATAGGCTTTTTTGAGTTTGGGCAAGATCACAGGCGGTCCCATGATCCCCTATTGCCCAGGAGCCCAATGGAGTTGTCAGTCCACCTCCCTTGGTCCGTCACCTATCATGGTTTGATGTCATTACTATCCTGGTTGATGTCCTACCGATCCTGTTGGTCAATGATGGCCTCTCGTTACAGTGAAGAGTTATATTGTCATATTTTATATCTTTTTTTTTGCATTTTAGACAATCAATGGCTATGTGGCACGACTATCTTCCTGACACTCGTCTTGCCTTTGGATAGAAAGATACGATGGCACTGCTGAAACATTGGATGAAGTGGACATCCTTCCTGTGCAGTTTCATGGGAACATCCTCAAGCAAGGAAGCAGAAGGACCAATT